ATTCGAATCTAGAAAAGAAAATACCACCAATTTACATTTGGTTTAAAGATTTTATCTTGTTGTTTTTTCCGTGTTGGCACAAGATAATACTAAACCTATTTTATGCAAAGTTATGTCTCTTTTCAATTAAGATTTCAAGCTCTAAACCTTTTTATGTTAAGAAGAAAACTATCAAGATGATTGACTTCATTTTCAATACGTGTTAACTTTCAACATATGCCACCATCCCATAATTATAATGATATATAATCCTTAAAATCCATTCTGCAAAGTTACCCCTTATACTTTACTGAACGTTTTGCACAAAGTATCAACTGTATTCACTTTAGACTTTGAGAACCTGTTCACTTCATAATTAAAGAGCAAATTGTACGAAAGCCTTGCTGAACAATTTCCATTTTTGACATCTTTTTGGTTGCAGATTATCACTTCATTTAGTTGGCTTATACGAATAACTCTTCCTAGCTTGTGTGCAGAAATATTTTCCTTGTCTGTGATGCCATTAACTACCCAATCCTGAAACATTCAAGTTGAACTCGCTCTTCGCAGACTGGTCCTGCTTTATTAAAAGGAACATTGTGCCGTTTGATACTTTTGTTGGCAGAAATATTATTTGAAATAGATGTTCATATAAAAGTAACATTTATTCATTTGAAGCTGATCTCTTCCTACTGATTTGCTTTGTTTTAATTGTCTGATACATGGTTCGATCTCATTTAAGTGATTTTTGAGTTGAACATATTGTTTTCATTGTATGATATAGCATATATGTTAAGATGGGGTACTTTATGGGGTAGATGTTTTGTTTCGCTTTGTCTTAATTTCAGAACAAAATAATAAAGTCATATGGCATTTGTACTGTAAAACTTTCCAGCGTGACAATATTCTGGTGCTCGTCCAAGTCAAATAACACTTTTATTTGTCAGAAGAGACTCATATTTGCATTTTGATTCAGATTCACCTATTGTAGAAAAAAATACAACGGATGAGGAAATAGTTTTGAGTTGACGATATTGTTATCATCTGTATGATAAAGGATATATGTTTGGATGGGATATTTTATGGGGGAGTTGTTTTTTGTTTCGTTTTATTAGCTCACCAGAACAGAAGGTTCATGGTGAGCTATAAGTACCAAAGGGGGATTGTTAAACATTCGTCGTCCGTCGTCATGCGTCATGCGTCAACAATCATCTTCTTCTCTAAAACTGCTGTCAGATTTACCAAAACATTTGTCTGTAGCTTTCTTGTGACAGCCAAATATGCTCATGTTATTTCAATTGCCCCCTTTTTATGGGTCAAGAGAGCTAACAATAGAAAACAAACATCTAAACACCTTCTCCTACTAAATTAAATTATGGATGATCACCAAACTTTGTCTTTAGCATTCTTAGGTAGTCTTTTATCAAATTTGATCATAATAATTTGATTGGACTCTTTTAGGCCCCTAAAGCTAAAGCTAAAAATAGAAAAAAAACATCTTTAATCGTATTCTGCTACTGAACTAATGATTGGATGATCACACACCAAACTTTGCCTGTAGCGTTCTTATGAAGCTTTTTATCAAGTTTGCTCATATTGAGTTGATTGGCTTCTTTTAGGGGCCGCTATAGCTAAAATAAAAAACATTAAACATTTTTGTACTACACAAATTGATTTATAATCACCAAACTTTTTCTGTAGCATATTCAGATGGTCTGTTTCCAAAACTGTTCAAATTACTATGCTTTGAACCTTTAAGGGGCCTCTAGAACTACAATTAAAAAACACCTTTAAACAGCTTCTCCTCCTGAATTAATTGATGGATGATCACCAAATTTTTCTGTAGCAATCTAGATTAGTCTTTATCAAATTTGCTCATATGAATTTGATTGGCCCCTAGAAGGGACCACTAAAGCTAAAAAAGAAAAAAATATTTAAACATCATCTTCAACATAACAGATTTATTTGATTGACTCTTTTAAGGGCCCGCTATAGCTAAAAAAACAAAAACACTTTAATTAAAACATTATTTATTCTGAACTACTTGATGGATGATCACCACACTGAACTAATTGATGGATGATCACCAAACTTTGTATGTAGCATTCTTAGATAGTCTTTTATCAAATGTATTCAAATCGATTTGATTTGCCTCTTTTAGGGGCCTCTAGCGCTAAAATTAAGGGAAAAAAACATTTGAACAGTTTCTGCTTCTAATTGATGGAACTAATTTGATGACCTATTTGATAAACTAATTGATGGATGATCACCAAACTTTGTCTGTAGCATTCTACTGTAGTCTTTTTTTTAAATTAACCTTGATTGGTGCTTTTAAGTTCCTGCTTTAAGCTAAACATTGAAAAAAGAAAACATTTAAACATCTTCTTCTACAGGACTAATTGATGGATGACCACCAAACTTTGTCTGTAGCATTCTAAGGTAGTTTGTTATCAAGTTTGCACATATTTATTTGATTGGCCCCTTTTAGAGGCCGCTAAATCAAAAATGTCCCAGGCCATGGCATTTTTTTTCAAATTATAGTTAAATAATGAAAAGGAAACTACTCATGTTGGAATGTCTTTTATACACTTGTACATTATATGCAGTTGTTCTTAAAAACAGATTCAACAACTGGGAGAGAGTCTTAATGTCATTGTCTGTTTTCTTTTTTCTGAGATCTTAAATAAACATGTCTGTACATTGTCTTTCATTTTACATGCTAAAAAGGATCTCACTAGACACTACTGCGCTATGCCACAGTTTGTATAGAATGAAAATCTATTTATGGAACTATCTAATGCTATGATAAAAATAAATTCATCTTCTGTTTGTGTTTACACATTGCATTATACTATTAATCCTTCTGCTTGGTCATTTTAGGTCAGTGTAAAGAATTTTTCCCCAGGAAATAAAATAAGGCCTGAGGAAAGATTACATTTGTTTATTGTACCTTACTAACTTGTTGATTTTTATAATTAAATTTTGTTTAAATCTATATTTTTCAAAACTGGTAGAAAGCACAGTTCAATAAATTTTGGGACTCATTGTTAAACCTTGTGTTTCATGTACATTGGCTATTGCCACAGTTTGTATAACAGACAGGGGATTGATATATGTATACTGGCCTGATCCATGGACCCGTGAGCCTCTTATTAGCCTGAACTAGTTTTCTCCAGCTGCATAACCATGTTCCCTGATGTCAGTTTTTTTTTTCATTTAGTAATATTTTTTCAATAGAGCTAGAAAACTAGAAACTTTTTAAACTAGAAAATTAATTTTAATAAACTTAAATCTATTTTATTATAAAAGTTATCTTGTTAACTGAATACATTTCATCAAAACAATATTTTGCCTTTTTTCTTCAAAGTAGTTAAAGTTACAATGTTCCTATTTCTTCTAGGGAGTAAAATAATTCAACCTGAAACCTTAATTTACTGGTCGAGATGACTAATATACCTAGATGTTATTTTAAATAAATATTGACTGGTGGTGTCATCCTGACAAACATTATACATGCATTCAAAATACTGAGATTATATAATTATCTACTTTTTAAGATAAGTAAAAAAAGAAAGATCGCAATTCCGAAAGACAGTCGTAGGCAAATTGTATTACAAAATAATAAATGGATGATCACCAGACATGGTCTGTAGCATCCATTAACGTTTTTTATCAAGTTTGCTCATATAAATTATATTTTCCCCATTAAGCTTGCATAAATGGATACATGGAAGTGTTCAATTATGGAAGGAAAATAAATAATGAAAACTGTGATAAATAGTATTCAAGATAATGAGACATTAACGGCCCCTGTGACCTAGACATTGAACTAATGACCCGAAATCATAAGGGGTCATCTAATTGTTATGACCAATCAATATTAGAAATATGAAGACTTTGTGGTAAATAGCTTTCAAGATATTGAGCGGAAACCATACTTACGTTAAAAAATCCTGTGGACTTGGCCTTTGACCTAAGGACACCAACATCACTAGGGGTCATCTACTAGTTATGACCAATCAGTATGTGAAATATGAAGACTTTGTGATAAATAAGCAGAAACAATTCTGACATTTAAGGCCACTGTGACCTTGACCTTTGACCTACTGAGCCAACATTAATTCTTGTCACCTACTATTTATGGCCAATCACTATGTGAAACAAGACGACTTTGTAATGAATACTTTTTAAGATAATCAGCGGAAACCATTCTGACATTTAAGGCCCTTGTGACCTTGACCTTTCACCTAGGGTGAATCAATAGGGGTTATCTACTAGTTATGGCCAATCACTTCATGAAATATGACGACTTTGTGATCAACACATTCAAGATAATCAGCGGAAATCATTTTGACATTAAGGGCCTCTGTGACATTGACCCATGACCTATTGACCCCAAAATCAATAGGGGTCATCTAATAGGAATGACCAAGCACTATATGAAGTATGAAGACTTTGTGAAAAACAGTTTTTAAGATAAACAGCGGAAACAATGTGGTCTACCAACGGACAGACCGACAGACAGACCGACAGACCAACATAAGCAAAACAATATACCCCCTCTTTTTCGAAGGGGGAATACAAAAAAAAATGTAGAGTGAGTCGATTTGCGTTACTTACCAGTTGAACAGTGACAATTAACTTGGGACCTTTGTGATAGGTTCCAATCATTTTTATTATAAAGAAAAAATTTATGTCAGGAAACTTTATTACTATAAAGAAGCAAGTTTAAGTTGAGCTGGACTTGTCTTTCTATAAGATTATTTAAAAAAAATTTCTATAGTCACTGAAAAACAGTTGCTTCTGGTCAGAATGGACGTCTTGTTTTTGATTTCAGAACTGCACAATAAAGTCATATAGCAATTGTACTGTAAAACTATCTTTCCGACGTAACAATATTCTGGTGCGCATCTTATGCTCAATTCCGAGTCAAATTACCCTTTCTTTGTCGGAAGAAACTAGTGACCTCCAAAATGATAAATATACAACTGCTTGTGACTCATATTTGTCTTTTGATTCAGATGTCCAACCCTATTGTAGAAAAACATACAAAGGAAGAGGAAATATTAGAATCACCAACAAGACTTTTAATATAGGAATTAAACAAATGTCTATTGGAAATATTGTCGTCAATCCCACCTCCGACAAGACAGACAAGAGGGAACAAGTTTTGCCTAAGCCAGGTAGCAAATAAAACTTTATTTTTTGTTCATTTTACCTAATCATATATGTCAATTACAAATAATATTAAACAAACTTTAAAATGCAATCCATGGATTTATTTCATTTATGACCATTTTTTATCAGTTGGTGTTTTTATTTTGTTGTTGTTGTTTTTTTTGTTTTTTTTAAGAAAAAACTGGGCTTTTTGAAAGTTTCTATTCGGAATCAAGTGCAAGAGAGGAAGAATGTCATCAATTTGCGTCAACAGTGGGTATGAATGCAGGATCACCTCGTGGTAACTTTATAGATACGCGAGATTTGTTTCCCATTACTGAGAGTGTGTTCGAGTCTAGTGTTAGAGTGGAAGCCTCTCGCTCTGTTTGCATGATTTGCTTTCCTGGTGGTAGAGCTACTGGGTTTCGTGTTGGAACTAGATATATCATGACTGCCAACCACGTTGTTAATCATATTTTAATTAGCAAAGGTATGAAATGTTTTGTTCTCTTAAGTTCCGTTTCTTATTGTAGAAAAATGTTATGAACGCAGTTTTAATAGTGATAAATACTCAATTACTAAATCAATTACCATTACCGCAGTTTATTTTATGTATTGAATGATTGCTAAATCAACATCTGAAATATTCAAACATTTTGTTAATTATGACAATTAATTGGCACATATATTTTAGCAGAAACTGTTGCATACAAACATAATCATAGTCTTAATGGATATTTCAGTTGAATTAACTAATCCATCAGATTAAAAATAAATCTAATTTAGATAGATGTAAATATTCTATTTGTGAAAAAAATATACAGGTGCAACAAGCCAGCTTAACCCATACTGATGTTTATTCTAAAATGTAGCTCGATCACCTTAAAAAAGTAAATGCGTCTTTTTATTTCTCATTCAATATCCTAAATCATCAGAGGAAAATTATGTTATTTGATTGTTTTCGTTAAAAATAAAGGACGCACCTTTAGAACAATCTGGCTTCGCAAGTTCCTCTACCTTTTTTTGATACTGATTATTGTAGAGTCTAAACTTTGGAGTCTCTTCGCTATCAATGTTTATCGAACCTTTCCCTTAGGGAATAAATAAAATACCAAGTTTCCTATTCCACTTTGTTTAATAACAGATTTTTATTAGATAATATTATTTACTTAAATATATGAAGTTAAGAAATATCAGGCTAACAATAAGTTCTTACATTTTATAGTAGTCATCAAATTTAATTTAAAGAACTTTTAATATAATGTACAAAATTAAAGAGAGAAAAGTGATTTACTTTTACTTTTAAATAACTGTTCAATTTAGATGAGAGATGGGGCGGTAGCGTGGCTTTGTAACCCTTTCTTCCAAAGATGCCAACCTTATATACCAATATTGTAATAATTTCAATATTACAAGATATTACTATTATTTTTAACATTTGTTTTCATAAATAAAATTAAGTATAATTATCAAAACCAAATAATTAAATTATTAGTTCAACAAAATCTCCTTTATATTGACATATATGACAAAATTTAATAATATGCTGAATATGATTGACTGTAAATTGTAATTAAAAAAATAATGAAACAAATTATATTTTCTTGTACCACTATAAAAGGGCAATAACAAAATTTATTACAAAGGTGCCAAAAAATCAGAAAATGTATTGATATACAAAAAGGGGAAAGAATCTGCCCTACTACACCTAATTAGACAAACAATATCAGTTGAAGAGGGTTAAATAAAAGATTACAAGTGGTAACTTAAATATTTTGCTGGTAGCAATAAGACTTCGGCCTCTTGACTTTCTCAACCTTTACGATATACACATATAATACAACTCTTTAATTGTTGGTCATTTTAACATAAATTTTGAACCATTTTTTTGTATTAGCTAGAATTGAAAGAAACGAAGTTATATATTGAAAAGGTACTAGAAATGTATAAAAGAAATTGGGGAATAATTCAATTGAGTGAATTTCATTAACCAAAATTATATCAAAAATAAACTAACAAAACAAATAGTATAATGTTGAATTCGTTAAATGAGTTTATGACATGAGCAACTAAAAATGAGTATCATTAATCTTTAATAAATTTGAAATACATATAATAATTAATGACAATGCGACATATGTACAATGGCACAGAAAAGATGTGTGCATGTTTATTTTTATTTTTTCCGTGCGCACCAAATTCTATTTTATGTGAACGAACTATTAAGCCGTGGGTAAGATATAATTTAGTCGTACGCGCGTGATATTATGTCATGCGCATGAAAGACTTCGGCTAGACACGACATAATTAAGTCGTGCACAAGAGATAATACATAGTGCGAAGTGACAATCAAGTCGTGCGAACAATACTCACCCATCAGATTTACACTATATATAATTTTATATGATAATTTTACACTTTAATTCCATTCCTGCTAAAAGATTTACATGCATGACAAATCTTTGCTGAATGTTTTTACTTGAAACTTGGTACATGTCTTTAGAGTCTTATAAGGAGGTAATTATCTAAGGTCCATAAATCAGATATTAATTTTAACCTAGTTATGACCCTTATCATGTACCCCACTATAAACGCTGAGACCATCCTGTGATAGGGTTGATCATCAGTACGAACATACTATCGGTAGTTATCATTGTTCATACGATAACATGAAAGGGAAGAAGCTCTTGTTTATCTATCAGGGACATTGTGAATAACTACCAGTTGATGATTGAGTTCATAAGGTCAAGAAAACCATGACACTTCATGAATAATCCTTGTCCGTATCAAGTAAAAAAAACGCATGGCTTTTTCCTCTCAAGTTATTGATTGGACAAGAAAAATAATCAAACATAAAGTGTAATCTGATAGATTTATTATGCTGTGCGAGCGACTTAATTATCTCGTTCGCCCCACATAGGAACTCGTGTGCACGACATAGTATCTCATACGCACCACTTAACTTTGTAGTGCATTTGCCTGATTAATATGTGCAAGACTTAATACCTCATACACACGACATAGTATATCGTGCGCACCACTAAATTTATTATGCTTATGACTAAGTTACTCGTGGGCACAACAACATACCTCGTACTCTCGACTAAGAATCTCATGCCAACGACTAAGACCTATTTATCTCGTGCGCAGGACTTAGTATACCATGCGCACGACTAAGTATTCTGTGCGCACGATATAAATGAAAACATATAATTATGTCAGCTCTGTGACACCGTACGTTTGTGCTTTTGCGTGTTAAAAGACTTAAAAGACTGTACGCAACATGCGGTCTCCTATGACCTTTTTTCAAAGTGTACTGCACAAACCTGCTTTATAGTAGTGAGTAATAATATTAAATCCATTAATATTTTATCATATCACGTAACTAATTGAGTTAAATTATCCGTGTAATTATTGTAATACCTATACGTTTATAGCGCCGCTAATGCGAAAGAACAAAAATTTCTCCGGAAAAAAAATCAAAATTCCGGAGATGGTTGACGACAGATCAAACTACACTGAATGTACAAAAAATGAGATTTATAACTAACAACTAACTATTTGCAGCAATGATCAGCTAGAAAATATCTTAAAGAAAAACAGAATAAAAAACCCATGGCTTTTATGACAGATTAGCGTAATGACATGTCATTAGCGCCTGAAGTCAATTACCATGCAAATGAAGCATTCAGCACTAAATGTAACAGGAAAAAAAACTGTAAGTTGTTATGTCGATAAATATGAAAATCGTACATTCAAAGTCAAGCTCATTCGTAAAGATCAAATGTAAAAAGTCAGCATTTCAATTCCGCTCTATAAGTTTTAACCAATGAAAAGTTTGAAAACGCTTGGCACAAATGATCACCATTATGAAACAATGTGAAAATCAGCACAAGACCATGTTCCACTCCAAGACTATGTTCACCTTTCAACTACAAAATTTCTTGTTGTATATTTAAACATTACAAGTGCACCTAAAGTGTGTGTCAGAATAACATCCGGAACGCTGTTTCCATTTTAAAACAACGTTTGACATGACAGGTTCTATTTGCCATTAAAGCTAAAAACTTTGGATGCATTTATGTAGAAAAACAAAAAAGATACACGAATAAATAAATAACGTTTTAATAAATTACTTGTTAATTTAATAATTAAATAAATAAATAAATAAACTTTGAGATATGTTTTATATTGAATCCCAAAAAGAAATATTCATTTTTCTAGCGCGTAAACCATTTGATTAACTTAACCAAAATCTCGGGCTGCAAAATGATACTTTCAACAAATAAAAAATAGATTGCCGTCGACATGACATGCACCGCTTCACCTTTGCTTCAAACATTCAATTGTCTGTTATTTGTAAACCCATATTACGGTCAATATCAAAGGCTAAGTGTCTAATTGGTGTAACTTTAAAGGATTGATAATTTGCCTTTTGACAAACTTGCCTTTTTAGGCAAACAACTGATATACTCACACATGAGCATAGATGTATCATACAAGTTTATATATGTTGTAATATCTGTGCTCTTGACAAAGAAAAAAAAGCAAATGAAACAAAAGAACAAAATAAATAAAGACTAAGATGATTTATTACTATTATTTACAGGCACGATGACTTTTATTCTTAATATGATATGTGTTAAAGGCTCATTATGCCTCAGAAATAAAAAAAAATACTTCTTTAGAAAGGACAAACATGAATTAAATAATAATAGTTTACTATACTATTTAGTAATTAAGTTAGATGCTTGTAACTTCAAGAAATTAGAGATAAATGTAAATTAATGTATCATTTAAGAAGCAAGATGTAAACAATGTACAAACTTCAAACAAGAAGCATATAAAAAGGTTCAGATAATAAGCCAATGAATATTTTACTAATTTGAGTCTATAAAACTATACCAAAGATAAAAGCAATGAGAAATATAAATAAAACCATTTCTGGGGCGTAGTGAGCCTTTAAGATATTATAAATATATTAATACACCTGAATAAGTAAATAATGGCAATAATCATTAAATCATATTTCAGGTTATGGGCAAATGGGAAACAATCCAAACTGCCTTTCGACATTACAAAGTGAGGACGTGTTTGCCTTGTTTGAGTATAAAAAAGACGAGCCTATTTCAGAACATCAAAAATTTAGTTTTACAGCAGCTGTCCCTTTTCGTGATAACGAAACTGATTGTGCTATTCTTGAACTAGAGGAAAAATGTAATGGAACTGAATTGCCTCGTTCATTTAAATATTTTAGTTTACCAAGACTAAATCAAAGATTTACTTTTATCGGACATTCATTAGGAAAACTAATGGAATTTAACCACGTGGACAAGATTATTGATATTGGAAGTGTGCAAACCAAAAGTGACATTATTCAAGTAAAGCAAAAGAGTTTAGAACACTCGGGCAAAGATTACGATATGCCCCCACATAATATTCTGACTAATCCTAAAAGATTTCTGTTTCATTGCAAGTTTACGAAAGGGGCGTCTGGATCACCGGGTGTGGTTACCTTGCCTGATGGGCGTTATGTAGTTGTGACAATGTTATTGTGCGGACTTCCGGATTGGTATTATGACTCAAACGTTGATGCTAGAGTTATATGTAGCTGGCCGAAAGATCATTGTGTGGAGCAAGGGGTAAATCTGAAATCTGTCTATGAAAAGATGTATCAAGAAAACAAATCGCTTTGTTATCATATATTTAATGTCCATGAAGAGTCTAGCCCTAATTCAAATTGATGATTAGTTTATATACTTTTGAGTTGAAATCAGTAGGGAACAAAAGTATAAAAAATGTCTTTAAGTAAGCGGTTATCTTTTATGCTTACAATTAGGCAAGAAGGAAATTTGAAAGGTTGTCATAAAACTATAGAAAAAAAGAGCAAAAGTGTAAATGTTGCATTTTGCTATTGGTTACATCTTAATTATAATATTAAGATAAATTATATGATTTGTTAAAATAATTTAACAAGTTTTTCGACCTAGATAAAAAGAAAATGCTATTTAATCTTTAAACTGATGTGTAATTAAATGGTGTAAAGTTAATACAAAATATCAAAGTTGCAGTATAATGTAAGAGTAATTGCCATTTTCAATTGACGGTATATCTATAACATTCCTTCATGGTCAGAGCTGCATTACTGGTACTGCAGTACGTACTGCAGTTATTTTGCAAGTACTGGTACTGATACTGAATTGCTCTAACACAAATGTTGCTACTACTGGTACTGGCACTGCATAACTGTCTAAAAATGGTACTGCTACTGCATTACCAGGCAGTACTTTCCTTTTGATAAAAATGTCACCAGTTTTCTCTTTGTGTCTACTAGTAAAGAAATAGCAAGATAAACGCTACTTAATTGCTTCTATTCTAAATAATCCTATTTCAAGTAATTTTGTTAGCACAATAAAAAATTGTTATTTACTTTTGTATAAATTGAACAGAGATGTGAAGGTGTGAAAGGCGACAAAAGACTGTTGTGTTTTAGATGAAAGATGATTGCATTGTATTCATACAGTTGACTGGTAACTAAACAATAAGATATAACATGAATGTATGTGGTAAATATTGTTTGTAAAAAGTATGTTAAATCATTAAAATTGTAAAAATGTAATAACTTTTAAAGTAAATAATAATTCTATTCTTTTCTTCTGAATAATGTTATATTTTTTTAATTCAAAGTGTGCATATGTGACATGGAAATACTTATTTAAAAAAATGTATCATTAAAGTATGTTTTATGTAAATATACATAATATGTTATGTTTGTTTGACAGTGTGTATTAAATATTCAAAATATGATGAATATATAAAAGTACTGGTACTGATACTTTATTAATTTCTTAAAAAAAGTACTGGTACTGCAGTACCGAGCTAAAATCTAGTACTGTTACTGGTAATGGTACTGCATAACTTGGCACGTAATGGTACCGGTACTTAATTATTACACCCTTAGTACTGATGCAGCAGTATGTTCATGGTAAACATATTTTCTTACATGCAAGAAAATGCAAATCATTATTACTTTGTTCATATGTGTTTATCAATCATAGGTTGATCTAATATTTTATATTATAATTAATGTTTTGCTTATCAATGTTCTAGTAAAATTTGATGTTGTTATTTTTCCAGCTCAAGAAAATACAGATGTTTAGAGTTATCTTTATGTTCTTAACATAACTGTCTATCTAATTCATTTGTAATTGTCAAACCTGTTTATTTGTATAACATGTACATATTGTCAGGCAAAAGAACAACTTAAATGACATGTATATTACTTACCTAGTATGTATATAAAATGAAAATGTTACATACATTTAGGTAACACAATAAGGATACATTCAGAAAGATGGGATATTTTCATGTTACTATGACGTCAAAAGGCGTCATTTTATAATCATTTATGTTAGAATATCTCTTATTTTCGATGTAAATGTTTGCACTAATGCACACTTTGGTATTTGGTATGCTATTGTTTGTCATTGTATTTAGTTTCAATTTTCTTATTTCTGTTTGAGATAGAGTACAACTGAACGGAAATTATTAAAATATGTATAATTGTTACAAGAAGATTGGACATATAACAACTGTACCTGTATGCATATCTCTTATTGTTTATGTTTTGACATTTCAAACACATAAAAAGTTGGTTTTTACAAATATAACTACTTTTATAATAACAATGTAACATCTTTGTCATCGGACTATATATTCATTTATACAAGCTTTTCAAAGAACTATGTTTTGCAAGAAATGCATTGTGTTTCAATAATTTTCACCTTTTTTTACTTTCCCCTGAGTGTTAATCTCTTATTAAGTCCATCTGATATGTGAACATGAAAATCATATTATCATTCTGACAAAAAGGCATACAAGGATAATTGGATTCGGGAAGAGGCTGTTCTGAAACGTTTTGAAGAAATAATATTGCAATGATAAAATGTTATTATAATTGTTTTTCTTCACATAGTGTGGTTAACATTCAATCTGATCCTTTCAATATATATGTGTATTTATTTTCTTTCCTATTATTGAAATTTAAGAAACATTTTCAAGTTTTAGAGAATTAAGATATTACTTTATTACATATTACTTTGTAAAGAGAAATAAATATATATAAGTACATTTTGTTATATATATCATAATAACCATACTGTCAGTACTGATTGCAAGAATGATATGTGTACAGGAATTTCATTTTTATGCATGCTTACATAATATTATAATCTATATATTTAATAAAAATGAGGTTGTAAAACAACATTGATGTGTTATTTATCATATATATAAATGTACGTAAATTATTTTCTTCTTTGAAACGAATCATTGAGGTCTGTACATGTACACACCTATCCTTGATAAGTGCCCTACTAGGGAAAATAATAATTATCTGGCACTAGTATTGGTCGGTCAAGGAATTAGAGTACACGCAAGATTGAACTCTATAAATTTCTTCATAAACTGAAGAAGGGTGGTCGTTTTTTTGTAGATGACGAATGGTGAACACACATTATTTAGACGGCTTTTTTATGACGTTACAATAATATAAAGCAGAAAAACAAAGACAGAAACTTTTTGATGATGTTGTCTAGTTAGAAAAAAATTTAAACAAACAAGCAAGATGCATTATAAAAGTGCCTAGATATACAACCAAAACATGCTGGCCGCATTATAAAATGACCTAAATAAAACAAAACAAACAAGATGACCCCATAATAAAAGTACATAATAAGAAAAAAATAAACAAGCTGACTGCATTATAAAAGGACCAAAATATAACCACCGGTCCCACCATGGGAGAGCCTAGGTATATGAACTATAACAAGCTGGCCGCATTATTGAAGTACCTTAAAACAAGCAAGGTGGCCGCATTATGTAAGGTTCTAGATATAACAACCTCTGCAACAAGCTAGTCACATTACGAACTAACCTAAATATAGCAACAAGGAAAAACACGCTTGTCACATTATAATAAAATATAATAAACAAAAATAACTGGACTTATCATGGAAGTATAAAGTAGATATGAATTCCATAACATGCAAAAGACCGCACAATACAAGTACATTACCTGGCTGTAATGAATCGAAGGAAAACTGGAATTAATTATTTGCCCTCATGATTTATTCCCCTTTATTACTGGAGATATACATACACGTTCTGGTCGCAAAGTTAAAGTATTTGAATCGGATAAAAAGTTTGAATCTATTTTATGGCCTCAAGATTTCTTCTCCTTTATTACTGGAGATATACATACACATTCTGTGCTCGCAATTTTACTAAATACATTATTATTGATAACGTTTACTAAACATTAAGACTCTAGGTAACAGTCATTCTTATAAATAGACCATCTTCTTTTCTGGAATACATGAAAAATGCGATGATGTGACTTGCTGTGTAAAATATATCAGACAAGTTTAATGTCAGTTAAGAAAACTATATGACTTTAGAAATAGGATAAAATTTGTTGTTTATTTTCAAGAGAAAAAATTATAATCGACACAGGCTATTTTTTATACACGGGTTACGTCGCACAAGCACAGTGTTACGGAATACCGTTAGGGCCATCGTGGTTATACTTAATTATCCAGAGTGACACAGTGCGATAGTGCGATGACGAAATTATGACGGTGCAATGACGACAATACTACAGTGCGATGGTGATAGATACAATAATGCGACAGTGCGATGGTGACAATGCGATAATGTTATGGTGACAGTGCAATAGTACTATCGCGTTGGCGACATCGCGGTATCGTACTGTCGCCATCGTGTTGTCGCACTGTAGCATAATCTTACTGTGGTAATCGGGTTATCGCATTTTTGTCATCACATATTCGTATTGTTGTCATCGCACTATCGCACTGTCGCATTGTCACCCTTTTGTTAAAACAGTATTTAGATGATAGAATAAGGGAAAATAATTTTATTTTGTCAATATATTTCTTTGTTCTTCTTTTTTGTTTATTTTTATTTTTGTATTCTGAAAACGTCTTTCAAATAAATTAACAAATTAATAAAACGTAGCATTTTATATCAAAAGATAAGGTAATACTTAAAGAGTTATGTATAACATACACTGAAAATTTAATAAATTGTAAACATAGTCGAAATATTTCAATATTTTACGTTTGTACATATTTTGGTAATATGTTCTATGAATATAATTTGTTTATATTTTTATATGAGTGATGAACAATTATTTCAAACTTTTTGCATCTTTTAAATGTCAACATAACATCATTTTCATCGGAAATCTTTCGAATTTATTAAAGTTTTACACACTTTTTTTACATTTTCCGTGAAGGTTTGGACATAAATTGAAACTTATTATTAAATTACATTTATGAAATAATTAAGACACTTTTAGTATACGAAAAAATGAAAAAGGAAAAAAAAGCCCCCCCCCCCCCGTAAAAAAAAAATAAATAAAAAAAAATCTGTTACAAAAGTAAAATTATTTTCTCATATTCTAAATTGTCAGCTTATTCGTCAACAGTTTAGGGCCGCCCAATCAGATGGAAAATGTTGTGAGCATTTGTACCGGGGAGCGATAGTCGATAATGCGAAACTGCGATGACGACAGTGCGAACATCTGATGATGACAATGCAATAATGTGACAATGTGATAACGCGATGACGACAGTCCGATAACGCGATCATGACAACGCGATAGTATTATCACACTATCAGATTGTCGCCATCGTATTATCGCACTGTTGTCATCGCGTAATTGC